ACAAACAGGACTTTAATATCACCAACCATTCCCATTTTATTACGGTGTATCCATATAAATGGCCCACCCTGTACATATGAATGTGGAGGAGTGCCGACCTGATCAGGTGGCTGGATGTTTACAAATCCCTGGATGAAGTGGGAACCGTGTACCTCAGTCAGAGAGGGATGGAGGGAGTGTTCACTCTGGCTGGTAATGATCAGACACACCAGGCTAGAGTGAAGCATCACCTCATCCACCACATCCTGCAGGCCTGCAGCCACAGTGAGATAACATTACTCATCAAAGCAGGAAATGATTATCGATCCTGTCTGTCAAAAGGCATTCCCACAGGTAAGAAAATATTTTACTTTGAGCAATGTGCTGCTGAAGCAGTGCCTCCGGGCCGTGTTCATGTTCAGGTGAGGCTGGTGCCCGCGTCAAATGATCCAGGTCATCAAGTAGAACAACAGAGGGCTGCCTCCATTCTGCCTGTTCAAAAATGTCCATCAGATTCTGTCTCACAGTTTCTACCCTTTTGCCTAAAAGGAAAACAAAACATATTTTTAATTAAGTTAAATTTTATCCTTCTTTTCCATTTAGACAGCAAATATTCATGAAGTCTTTCTTGACCTTGTAGCTTTTTGCAGTCTACCACCTCAACGTGTGCATCCAGCTCTTCTCTAGCTTTCCTGCAAAAGGCTTGGGATAGAGTGCTCTTCCCACTCCCCTGCAGAGAGAAGTTACAGCACAACATGTTGCAGACTTAACAAAACAATACTGGTTAATATGTGTTCTCCAGTGAGCTTAAGCTGCCAAAAAAAAAAAAACCCCAAACAAACATCAATGCTATGAAGTATCAATTTATCTTATGTTAATGAATTATATTGACAGCCGTTGTGTTAGCAATAGTAGTTAACTTAAATGTTAAGTAAAGAGATACCTTGGCACCAGTGATGAGAAGAGCTCCACCTTGAAGTCCCCGACCAGTGGTACCCAGCTCTCTCGAGAGGGGACTACCCAGAAGGCTATGGGAGATAAACTCAAACCCAGTTCTACAAAGCTCATCCATCCCCCTGGGGAAAAAAAACCCCAAACATGACTGATGGAGAAAAACAATCTCCTGCTTAAATCACGCATAGGTACTGAATTATCAAAAGACGTACCCAAGAATACTAAGAGAGGGAAGTTCTGGGTGGGGTGTTTCAACTCCAGGCGTCACAGCTGGGGTGGTTACTGGCTCTCTGTCTACCTGAAGATGAGAGAAAGAGATAACTGTGAACAACTTCAAAGACTTTTTTTTCTTAAAAACATGTTGAATTGTTTAATAAAAACTGCATGAAGCAATCTGTTTTCATGTAAAATGTTTAAAGACACAGATATATAATAATTCTCCATTTGCATGGCGATACCTGTATGTCTTTCTTCTGGATAACTGTGGGTGCTAGCAGAAACAGCTGATCTGAAGCTTCAGTCTGTGGTTCTGGTTTCAGCACAGTTAAAGCAAACTCTAACTTTGCTATGGAAAAGAATAAAAAGTGAAGGGCCATTATTTTTTTAAAAAAAAAAAAAAAAAGCTAATTTAAGATATTTATTATTACCCCCTTTTTTAACTTTACATAGCCATATGCCAAGCTGTCTGTGCATGATTTATAAATATACTTCTTTGGCTTGTAACGGAAGTGCAAGAATGAATCACCATCAGTTCCATGTAGGAGGATGGTGCCAGACCGTGCTGTCAGACAGGCTAAAGGTTCGTGACTCTGTGTGTGCAGCCAACCAAGGAATGCTGTCTGGATCTCCTCATCATCCTCCTCAGGCTGAAGAGAAAAATGTCAAAAAAAAAATCAGATGGACAGAAAGGAAAGAAGCTGAACACATTTTCTGCAATTCTGAACAAATTATATGTCCTTGTCATTTACATCCGACACTGTAACACAGATGTACACTCCAGCACTCACCAGTGGATTTAGGGGTTGTAGGCAAATAGTAGAAGCTACTTTGATAGCTGATTTCACTGGCTTAATTCTTACTGTTGAATGGGCAGGGATATTAAGCCTGCTGGCCAGAGGCTCTGGAATCTAAAAAATTAAAGATACAAAAATTTTAACAGAAACAGAAAGAAGTAGGGCACTGCAGTATTGTTAAAATACTGTTTATAAACTATATATATTCTTCTCTTCAGACACCATACTCACCCATACTCTTCCACTGTGAATCTCTCCGTTGCTTCTTTCCTTGCATCCAAGTAGCTTGGTACAATGACACACTGCCCTAACCACCATGGCCTCCTCTTCCTTCACCTCCTCTCCTTCAGGCGTAGCAGTCTCCTTAGTAACTCTTGCCTTCTTCTTTTTCTCCATTGCCTGCTTGGTTCTGTCCCTCGTTTCTTTGGGGGATGGGACTTTGGAGAGAAGGCCATATGTAATTGAGGAGTGACCTTCACTCAGCCTAGCATTGAAACTGTGGCTCCAAGGAAAGATGTGAATAGCATTAGTTGCAACATGGCTTATGGTGCTGAGAGAGTGGGGAGGTGCACCGCACACTCTGTACAGAGAGTCCGTAAGGAGAGCGGGGATTTCAGGTAAAGGCGGTTGTTCCTTAACTGGGTCATAAGCGCCCTTTATCATATGATGAAAGAGGCTTTTCAGGTCGGCTATGCCACCCCACTGGTGGCTGTTAGAAGTAGAGGAGGCAGTTTCTGATGATGGTCCTGAAGGGGAGGAGAAATCCATGTTTGGCTGTCTGTGAAAACTTTCTGAGTTTGGGTTGGCTTTTAGATGAGAATGTGTGTGGGTGCCAGTTTCAGCGCGGATCTTCGGGGACACAACAAGTTCTGTGAATTGCTCCAGGCGACCGTAGGGCACACGTGGAGAAAGTGAAGCTGTGCAGAATTTTTTTTTAAATTAAACTGTATTCATAGAAGTCAAACATTTAAAACTCAAGTGCAATATTTTTGTGTCACATGTTATTTGATAAACAACATAGAATAATTCTATCAAAACTGACCTATTCGGATAAAGATTACTGTGTGGTTGTCCACCCACACAGGAAACACGGCATCTTGGAAAACTACTCTGATCTGATCCAGTAGTTGCAGCTCCAGCGCAGAACTGTGGAGCTCCTGGCGATGTCAGTCACACAAAAGTGATATATTAATACTTGTTAAGCGTGCTTTAAAAAGGAGAAGTCACCTTGTAATTATTAGAATGTGTAAAATAGTGCAAACTTGTATGAAGACAAGTTTCACATACTGTATGTCACTAAATTACCCACCAGGATTTCCCAGTCATCAGCTGATACAGGTTCCACAAACACCCGATCCAATGATGAGACCTGATGACATGGCCTTAAGAAGCCCTGAGGAAAAACAAACCAGTGAACTAAACAACTAGTAAGTCCAGACAGAAACTGACAATCACTGTACACTGTCACAAGATGGAGAAAATTAGCTTCTTCTGAAAATAGAGCGAAGAACAGATTCCTCACGGAGGGGCTCTACCTGCTCTCCATCTGTCAGGCCCTGCTTCTCTCCTAGCTGCCGACACAGCTCCACTTTGTGGCTGTCCAGGCTGGAGCTGGCTCTGTTTTGAGTCCAGGTGAGGAACACTGGAGGCCCATGACCACAGGACAACTCCAGAGGCTGGTTCTGAAAAAGACCTTAAATGGGTTGACTGTGAATGCCACTGTATACAAAAGTATTCTATAGTCATTGCCAAGTTGCATGGGATCATGCAACTTGGCAATGACCCCAAACTAGAGCAGCAAATCTCCAACAGAGTGGCTGTAAAGGAAAGGAATCAGTGTGTTGCAATGGCCCAGTCAAAGTCCAGACCTCAGCCTGATTGAAATGCGGAACCTAAAGAGAGCTGTGCATAGAAAAATTCCTGCAAACACTGAAGTAGAGTGGGACAAAGTTTCTCCACAACGCAGTGAGACACTAATAACAACATAAATAAAATGGTTACTTCAATTTAGTGAAGCTAAAGGTGGTTCAACAAGCTTTACTGAATCAAGGGGTGTACTTTGTTTTTCACATGATTGCATGTTTGCTGAAGCACCTTTTGTTTACCCTAGACTACACCATGACCACCATCCTTGCTTGCAACCATGCTTGAGCAAACAAATCGTCCTCATTCAATCCATTTTACACTGTTTAGACTAATAATGACAGGGTTAACCCAGTTCTGAATCCTTTGTAAGTAAAGGTCAAACTTAAGGAGAGGAAGCCACGAAACAGGAATTCCTGTTAGCCAAAAAAGTGCAAATATAAACAGAAAGCCTTCATCAGAAAAACACTGTTCATTCATAACAGCGAACAGGACACAAGGTAGAAAAGTCATTTTAAAAGATACACTAGACCCCGGATTTATTTCTAACCTAGTCCTTTGTCTCCACCAAGTGAAACCGTAAAGGAACTGCTACGAAAACAGCTCCACCGAGAAGGAAACAAATACAGAAATACGAATTGCTAACTACCCTCTCTCTCCATATGCTGAAGTATTGTGTTTGACTCAGCTCCTCTTCTATCAATATTCAGAGCACGTTTCCAGCCGGGCCGAAGTGGAGTGAATGGAGTCGTGAAAAACTGATCTTTCCAATTCATTTGATCTAGAGAGCAGCCTGACGCGAGGTCTAAACTGCAGAAGTCACATTTTATTTTGTAATGTGAATAACTGTCAAAGGGTCTCGGAAATTAATTCACAGCTGCATTAATTTTGTTTAAAAAAAAATACAAGAATAGAACAACACACAGAACGGGCCAACATTTTAGCTAAAAATGGTTTAAGTCAACAAAGCTTCTACTAATTTAACCTAAACGATAGTGCTAGGTGGTTAGCTAGGCTATCTTACCTCGTTCAGGGAAAGCTGTGATATTAGCTTCAAGGGAAGGTGTAAAAAGCAGTTTTTTGCGTTGTTAAAAGTGACAGTTACGGGTTGAATGCCCTGATTGCTAAACATGATTTTCACAAGTTTTCTATTTCGCGTTCAACACGTCAAGCAAGCTGCAACGCTAACATCAAGTGTGTGACAAACTCATAGTCGATCGATGTGCTCTGTGTGTGCCAAACCAGACCAGACTAGCCGATATTCGGTTGAACGCATTTCAGAATAAGACATCCAACTACGACATGCTTTGAATGAATCCTATTCAACACGAGAATGAAACTTTATTTTGAAATGCATAAAGTGAAACGTTCATTTCCACAAACATGGCGGCTCCCGTCAACAACAGCTCTGGCTGCTGGAGAGTCCCGGAGGTTTACAAACATCACGAACAGCAGAGAGTGTGCATTTCTCGGCCAAAATATAGGGAAGGAAGAAAAGCCAAAGCAGTTAAGGTAAGAGGACCCTTTTGTTTAGAAATATACGGCCAAAAGAGCGTATCTTAAGGTGTGAAACACTCCCTGCTACGTGGGAACGTCACTTACAGTGTTTTAAAAAAAAACATTTGCTCTCTTCCGGATTTTATGGACTCCACTGAACCACAGTGAGAGCCTTAACCACATCTGGATGATAAATATAACCACTGTTCGCAGTTTTCACATGAGCATTTTCCCATCAGTGTACCGCAGTCAAGTGTTGCATTATTTGCAGGTTTACACCATAAATTTAGAGAGTCGTTACCTGATGGTCCAAGGGGTCCCAGCGATTGGGGTTATGACTGAGTTGATTCAGCTGTGTGCCCTCTATGGAGCTGTGGAGGAGTACAGGCCCCTGGACGAGTATCCTGCCGAGGAGTTCACAGAGGTCTACCTCGTAAAGTTCCAAAAACTCACAAGTGCCAGGTACAAGATGTAACTAGACTGTTCATTATGCCTAACTGGCAACGTCTGAAGGACCTTCTGAATAATTTGGTTTCATTTCAGAGCAGCAAAGCGACACATGGATGAGAAAAGTTTCTATGGTGGTGTGCTGCACGTGTGCTACGTCCCCGAATACGAGACTGTGGAAGACACCAGGCTCAAGCTACAGGACCGGAGGAGCTATGTCATCCGGGCTGCTCAGAAAAGAGGTATAAATTTATATCTATAGGTTATATTTTGCCTCACAAAATCCACCACTCAAATGAGTAGCTTCTTAGTTCCTCATTAGTCCAAGCAAACCTCAGTTAACATAAATAAGCATAAGCTTTATTTGTCAGTTGCAGTTGCCTGCAGCTGAGATGACAGACCTACAGTAGATGACCATACAGACAATACATAAAATATACAAACTTACATTGGGGAGACAGGTCAGACTAGGCAGCAGAAAAAAAAGGGTAGACAGTGAAATATGTAACATATAGGGGCAAGGTCAGGAGAAAAAAAAAAGGTTTCTGCCCATGCTGACTCTGACAAATGAGTCATCATGAGGAGAAAACACAAAAAAACTCCATAGCACATAAAGAGCACAGATATCATCACACTATACTCCACGAAACACAGACAAGCAACATAAGGGCAGGGGTACACCAATGTGCACAGACGCTGCGATTCTCCGTGCCTCCAGCTTAGCCGCTGTCTCCGTAGACGGGGAGGTAAGCATGGCAGGAGGCGTTGGATCTGGGGAGGAATATCTGCATGTGTGCGTGTGTGTGTGTCCAGAGTTCAGCTGATATATATATATATAGATAGATAGATAGATAGATAGATAGATAGATAGATAGATAGATAGATAGATATATATAATAG